TTGCAAGAAGTTGCGGGATCCCACCAATCGAGCAATGTTTGCGGCGATTAATAGTGACGAGATACGTCGTCTTATTATTAAAATGTGGCTGGATGAGAGCCCCAACGATGCATGAAGGGGGATGGCGAACTTTTTTATTGCTCTTTATTTGTTGTTGGACTTCTCTATCTTCATATACTCTACGAGTGCTACATTTGCTACTGCATCTTTATGTTATTAATTGTTTGTGGACATTTGTATGCGTGTATTTATTAGCAAATAAATTTATTTGTAGGATGTCTTATGTTGACGATAGTGACACATATGAGGAAGAGGTCGATGATTTTCCTAAAGACATTGATAGTGATTTGGAGCCGGTGGAAGACTATGATCCCTTTGAAACATCCTTAATGGTGGGAGCTCAATTTCAACAACTTGTATACATTTTCGAAAGTTCGTCGACCGCATTTCCCCCTTAAGAAGAACCCCCTACCGAGAATCTACCTACACGGGTTTGGACTAGGTAAATGAACTATTAGCTGGAAATCCTCGCCGCTTTAAAGATGCAATGGGCATAAATCAATGTCATTTTAGTATCCTTTGTGACGAAATAAAGAGGGCGGGATTCCACGAACAAACCAGACAACAAAAAATAGGCATTGAAGAAAGCGTAGCCATTTTCCTTCATACAATAAAAGGTCATCAAAGGCAACGACGTGCGGCTGAGTCATTCAGACACTCGAGGGAGACGATTAGTTGTCATTGTCACAAAGTCATCAATGCTCTATGTTATCTAGCCCCCGACTACATTCGTTCCCCAGACTTCAACCATGTTGCATCGTAAATAAGAAATAATCGTAACTTATATCCCTACTTCAAGGTAAATATATCACTTTATCTTTTAATGTGTCCTATACCGTATATTTTAACTAACTTACTGTATATTTGAAATTGTAATTTCTAATGTAAGGATTGCATTGGCGTCATTGACGACACTATTATACCAGCATGGGTGCCGGAAGGACAACAAGGTTCTTATAGATGTAAGAAAGTTTATTTGGCGCAAAATGTGATGTTGGCGTGTGATTTTGACTTGATGTTCATTTTCGTCGTAGCCGGCTGGGAAGGCAGCGCAAACGACGCACGTATTTTTAATCACACTATGTCCTACCCCAGATATGCTTTTCCCTTTCCACCACCCGGTATTTCCATCATCACAATATTCATATGCTATTATTAGCTTAATGAAATTATAATGTAATTTACCAACTCTTTTCTGTGCTCCCGTTAATTGAGGACATATGTTCATGCAGGTAAATTCTATGTGGTGGACTCTGGATATGCAAACATCCCAGGTTTCATGACACCATATCGTGGTGAAAGATATCATCTTCCTGAGTGGTTGGGGACTAATCAGTTGCCCGACAATGCTCGTGAGTTGTTCAACAGACAACATGCCATTGTCCGTAACGTCATAGAACGCAGCTTCGGTTTGCTAAAAAGAAGTTTCCCATCATAAAGGGGCTGATGCCAAACTACACAGTCTACTCCCAAACCGACATAGTAATAGCATGTTGTGTTCTACACAACTCTATTCGGATTCATGAACCGCTCGAAAACATGCCGCCTAAATTCAGGAACCTAGAATACGTACGACGACATGATCCTGATGATCGTACTACACCTTTTATGTCCAATAATAATAACTCGAACCCCAACGTTGGTGACCATTGTGTGTTGTGTGACACGATAGCGCAAGCCTTGTGGGCGAACCGAAGATAGAACGAACATCGTTTGTATTAATGTAACCCGAACACCCCAATGCTTGTATTAAAGAAACCCGAAATGATATTTGGGCCTACAATAGTATCGTTGTTTAATTTATGAATTTTGTATGTTGTTCTTATTATTCCACTTATATTTGTAGTTTTATTCCGCAAATAATAGTTGAAGTTCTAAGAATGGCCAGTGACTTGAGATATTACTTGTGTAACAAAAATTATGCATGACAACACTGGTTATATTAAAAAAAAAAACATAATATTCATACTAGTGTAATGTTCATGAACTACACGAGTAGTCAATATTATAGATTACCTAATAATATTTATTAAGTTAAATAACACTCTGTACACAACATTTGATTTACACAATTTTAAAAAGTAACCACATTAATAGTATTTTGTGCCCATTATTATATATTACACAAATTATACATACACACAATAGACTCTGTTTATCTTCACAATGTACACAATCGTAATGGAAAACAGAGGTGCACAATATTGATCATTTTTATTTCCATAACTTCTAATAAATTTTTTTGTCTTCTTCAGTAAATACCGAATGGTGTGTGTGCTTTGTCAGATCGGATTCCCGACAGGAATTTTCCTTTTCAGAGTGGAAAAAATTTTCGTGTGGGCAATGAACCCGGGCGACATTATCGAGACGTGAGTTGTCATGCGAATTCACTTTTTGGCTATAAAGTTCACACTAGTTGTTGGAAATTTGTCATCTTCCGAGTGTGGTTTATTTTGAATTTTTTTTTCTTTGTTTGTCATACTACTCATGCACATATTACAAGAGGTACACTGATTATTGGAAAGGAAATGGCATCCAATGGACTCAATTTCATTGGAAGACCTCACAACATGCAACGTGCCACCGTGAAACGTGAACTTGCTCCAAATTTCATTTCCACTGCAATAATATGAAAATAATCA